ATGATTTATGAGATTCTTGAAGGAATTTTAAATTATCAAAGAAATGGTTCTGGTTGGTATTTTAAAGTGGTTTTATCATTGAAAATTCACACAGTAGACTACGAACCTTTAAAAGGCTCGTCTTACATCCCTCTTATAATGAGAAAAAAAGCAATTCTTAATATAGAAAACAAAGATACTAATAACTGTTTTATGTGATCGATACTACGTTTAACCTTGACAGCACAAGGATAAATGATCTCCAGCAATATGAGAATGACCTTCATTTTAAAGGTATTGATTTTCCAGTAAAAGTCAAAGATATAACAAAGTCTGAAAACCAAATTCAAATATTCCAAAAATAAATGTATTGTCAATGAACAAAATGAAATCTACCCATTAAGAAAAAATGAAGTCACTATGGACTTATCAAAAATTTTTCAAGATTAGCAAATTCTCAGGTGAGTAAAGATACCAATCCAAAAAAAATACTTTTACAAGAAATGACTTTCACATTTTGTAAAAGAGCAATTATTTAAAAAACACATTACATATTGTTGCGTTAATGAAACAGTAGCTGTCAAAATGGGGCCAAAAACCTTATCACTTTTTTTCAATAATCATTACAAGAAACTTCCAATTCCTTTGTAGTATATGCAGATTTTGAATGTTTGACAAAACCAATTAATAATTGCGAACCAGATTCAAACTATTCTTTTGCAATGGGGTATCAAAAACATGAACCTTCAGGATTTTGTTTGTATCTTAAAGGATTGGATGGGATAAAAACTTATTTGAATTTGCAAGAGTACAATCCACTATCCAATGACACCCTGGTCTTATGCGAGGACGACGAGCTTATTTCAGTGACAACTGACTCTGTTGTAACTCGCCTAAGCAAAATCAGTACGTCTCGGGCAGGTGGGCCTGACGACCTGCCAAACCGGGTGCTGAAAAAGTTCTCTGACATACTAGCTCCAGTTTTAACTGAGGTGTTAAATCAGTCATTTCAAGAATCTAAAGTCCCACGTACATGGAAGCTAGCGGATGTTCCACCTGTTCCCAACGGCCTCTATTGAAGACTTTAACAAGGACATGAGACCCATATCCCTAACATTTATGATTGTCCAAAGTCGCGGAGGGGTTTGTTATCGACCTAGAACTCAAACCATTGATGCTCGAGTGTATAGACCCAAACCAGTTTGGTTTTATACCAGATTCCTGCACTACGTTCGCACTCATCTCCATGCTACATCACATCTTACTGATCGCCAAGCTGTATAGCCTAGGAGTAAAACCCACCGTTGTCAACTGGGTGGCGGACTTTTTACGAGACAGATATCAACGTGTCAAACTTAATTCTGACTGTCTTTCGGATTTTAAACCAGTCCCCGCCGGAATTCCACAGGGAAGCCGGATTGGCCCATGGCTCTTTTCGGTTATGATCAATGACCTCAGTAACACCCTCTCTTCCATATGGAAATTCGCAGACGACACCACGGTCTCGGAAATTGTTCCCAAGTTTGGTGCATCGATGCTCCAATACAATACATGATGTCCTTCGTTGGTCTAACGACAATAGATTCAAACTGAACTCACTTAAGTGCAAGCAACTCAGAATAGACTTTCGAAGGGAAAGTAACTTGGGCACTGTTTCTCTTAAGGCTAATGGCATTGCTTTTGAAATTGTTAAATCAGCTAAAATATTAGGCCTCACTGTAAGGAATGACCTTAAATGGAACGATCATCTTAATAATATTACTGCGAAAGCGTCTCGACGAATTTATTTGCTTAAGCAACTTAAGCGCGCTGGCATAGACCGTAAGTCCTTAATTCAATTTTATTGCGCATGCATTCGTTCCCTCCTAGAATATGCATGCCAAGCTTTCCATTCCAGCTTGCCAGTCTATTAGTCTGACAAAATAGAGAGGGTTCAGAAAAGAGTCTTAAGGATTCTATTCCCAGAGGTCTCATATAGCAAGGCCCTGGAAGATGCGGGTTTCAAAACACTCTTTCATAGACGCGAGGAATTATGTAGCACTCTGTTTACACAAATTGCATAGAGCGATGGCCAGCTTAAACTAGCTGGCCTGCTGCCCGCGTGCAACGACAATGAGAGAGATGACTTTAGGAAAAGGCCTATGTTTTCAATCCCACGTGTAAAAACAAAGAGGTTTAGAAATTCTTTTATAATGCATTATGCAGATAAGCAACAATTGTAAATAGAACTTTTATACTGGATTTCATGGAATTTTATCATTATATAATAGTTTTTTTTTCTTATGATATATTGGGAATTTTTATAAGGTTAATTTTTTATCAACATGTACCTAACACAAGTAATTCAGCTTACAGCTGCTAGTTGTGATTTCAAATAAACGATTTATCTATCAATCCAATCGTTTACATAAAACAAACAGAAGACGAAGACCTGCCAGAAGTATTTGTAAAAAAAATTGAAATCTCTTACAGAGTTGATTTATAACAATTACTATAAAAAAACAAAAACGCTCACATTAACAAAAGAAGATCAGAAAGATTTTGAATCCTCAGATGTATGCCATATATGTGAACAAGAGTTTGACGAAGATTATGATACTGCAAAAATGTTAGAGGTTAGAGACCATTGTCATTTTACTGGTGACTACCGAGGATCGGCTCATAACCAATGCAATCTTCAATCTTCAGTGTCGAAAACCTTTAATTCTTCCGGTATTATCACACAGTCTTCAAGGGTATGATCCTCATCTCTTTTTTAAACAACTAGCTAAGATTAAAAAAGATTTATCATGTATTCCATCAACTGAAGAGAAGTATATTCCATTTTCAAAGAAGATTAAAGTAGGAGAGTACAAGCAAAAAAAAACAGGGGAAAATGTTTCAGTAAACTTTGAAATATGATTTATAGATAGTTTCAAGTTTCTTCAAACAAGTCTTGCAAATCTTGTTTCTAATCTTCAACCGGAAGATTTTAAAAATACTAAAGCAATAGTTAAAAACAATGGCTGCAGTCTCATCTGGGCTACTAACTATAGTTAAGACGGGGATAACTATAGTTAGCTATTTCGGTAATGTAACCGCTTCTCTGTTCGCTCTTACTTTAGTTAGAAAATTTACGCCTCGGTGATCCAAAACAATTCAGACTAACTATCGTTATACCCAAGCAGGGTTCGTGGGTTAGTCCTAAGTTTACAAACAAACAACTAATCAGAATGTGACACTTCTTTTCGCACGTGCGAGATGAGCATATATAAACATGCAAAATAAAAACCAAGCGTGAAGCGAGGAGAAAACAACAAACAACAGCCAAAAAATTTACATACAACAAGGTAGCAACACGTGTAGCCTTCAAGCTTTTGTGCAGCCATCCTTGTATTTGCTGCGAAGAATTCCAGACCTTCCTCAATATTATATTCTAATGCTTTAATTTTTAATACTTTTTTCAACTTTGAAAATTATCCATCGTTTTAGCCAGCAAGAAAGTACACCATACCAAGCGAATAAAATCTACAGTCACTACAATGGAAGATTTGTATTTACTCCGTCGTACTTTCCCTTCTACCAGCCTCAAAGTGATGTTCATCCCCCTAATCTGGCTGTACCTGGCATCGAAGGCGGGCCAAACTCGACGCAAACTGTTGCTTCTTCAAAGCGTCCAAGACAGAGAAGAGATTGGACGGATACAGAACCTCTCTTTTGTGAGAAGTCTACGAAACTGCTTATTCCCTGGGAAAGCTTACTAGTAAAACAACGAAAGCCAATTCAGGCGGATGGGAAAACCTTGAGAAGGGTTTCAATCAGGAATTAGCAAGCAGAAACATGGCCCCCAGAACCCTGCAACAAATGAAGGAGGAGATAAATAACCTAAAGTCAGATCACAAGAAGATTAAAGATAAAGAATCACAAACAGGCCAGGAAACCCAAGCCAAACCTTTCTGGTTTGACACGGTCGATCGTGTTTTTGGTTCCAAGGATGTAATCGTCCCGCCGTTTTTTTTTTTATTATTCCAGTAAAGGCGGATACGAAATTATATAATAAAAGAAAGGCCACAGATCGAGAGGAAAAAGAGGGTCACGTAGATCAACTTGGTGATGGAGATGAAATGTTTGCACCTTCAACATCAAAAGGAGCGGGAAAAAGCAAGGCCAATCGCGACCGCAAGTCAACCAATTTGGAGCAAACACAGCAGCTCAGAGGGACTCATTGATGTTCTAGACAAGAAGGTAAAGTTGCTGCAAGAAGCTCAAGAGAGAGATGTAAGTCAGGATGTCTATTTAGTTGCTATAAAACTCATTCCATTTAGTGTTACAATCACTGATGATATGTTGTGCTCAATGTTCAAGTGAAAATTTAATGACCATTATTTACGAATTATTGATCAGGTTGTCGAACTCTTGATTACAGAAGATGAGAAAGGTTCCGCCGTAATTTTATTTAAGATATTTCAGTGAAGTTAAAGTTTCATTATTGAAGTAAATATCACAAATGCTAGAGGCACCAAATGTAAAGAACATAAAGAATTGACATCAACAGAACTCAACAGAGCATGTTTTGTTTACAAATGTAAAAGATTTGTTTGCAAAACACCCCTGACTGCGTCTGCATTGGCACTTGTTCCCCCATCAACAAAATCATCCTTGCTATCATCGTCGCTGTCTTCAATGTCAAGATCTGGCTCCACATTTTCAATGCAGATGTTGTGAAGAATACAACAAGCAGCTATCGCTCCTGGGACGTTTTCTGCTAAGATTCCAATTCTTTTCGCAAACATCTCCACCTTCCCTTCAATACACCAAGTGTGTGCTCCACAATCACACGAATCTTGCACAGGACAGTGTTAAATTGAAGTTAAGCACATTCTGGTAAGGTTTCAAAAGCCAAGGGAAAATTGGGTAGGCGGTATCACCAACAATTAAAGGGCCAACAGAAACACCGTTTAAATTTATGTAGGCGCCTTGGAGAATGTCGTTCCACTCATTCGCAGTACCCTGGTGTCGTGAATGCTACCTGGAAAACCTGTTTAAAAATCTAAAAACCGACCATCGAAGCCCACAACTGCCTGGAGATTCACAGAGTAAAAATGCTTCCGGTTGAAATAGCTCTCCTTATTGTGCTTAGGAGCCTTTATAGGGATGTGTGATCCATCAATTGCGCCTAAAATCTGAGGTATGTTGAAGAGATTGTTATCAGAGAATCGCTGAATGGCTTCATCGGTCTCTTGCACTGATGCAGGAAATGTAATCCAATCTTCATAAAGTTCATTTAAGATGTGAATAAAACTGTTTGTGATCTCGACAGCAGTAGACTTTCCAATACCAAACGTGGAGGCAACAGTTCTGTACGCATTCCCGCTGGCAAGACGCCACAATGCCACTGCGACTCGTTTCTCTATGCTAGCTGCTTCCCTGAATCGACTATCTCTTTTTTCCACTGAATTTCTGACTAGGTTTACTACGAACTGAAATGTTCGTCGAGACATTCTGGAGTGCTCGCGCCAGTAAAGGTCGTAATTGTAAATGGGCGCGCTTAACATTAGCTTAAACCACCCTTCAGGTCGTGGAAGAGAACACGCGACGTGGACGAACCTCGGCACGAAAATGTATCGCGGATGTAACCAATGTCAGCACCAGTAAGACTTGCCTTCTTCGGCGTCCAGTATCCGTTAGAATTCTCAGCTTATTTCGCATTTTTCTCCGACTGTTTGCTGCTCGAAAAAAAGGAATAAGAAGAAAAACTGGACACACTTTACGGCGGTCAATCATGTTGACATTGCACGGATCAACAATAGAGAGCTTAAGCAGCAAACGTTCTTGAGGTCACGAACGGCAAGAATTCCCTTGTAGAATCAGACACTATGTAGAATCTATGCAAATGCTATGTACAAAGCTATGTAAAACCTATGTCAATCAGTCATACATTGCTTTAACCAGGTCCTATGTTGTTTCTATTCCAGGAATTTTTTTTTTGTATCGAAAATGCTATGTTTTCGCTAGTCAAAGGGAACCTACTTGAAAGCTATGCAGTTTTTAAAGGTAGGAATAAAGGAGGAAATGAAATTTTTAGAAAAATCATAGAAAATTAAAAGCCTTCACATAGGACTGAAATAGAGTTTACATAGTAAAATGGAACAGGGAACAGTTGATTAAATAGCTTTTGAATAGGGTTTGCTTAGAATTTAGATAGCCTAGAAATAGTAAAAACATATGATAAGCATAGCCTTTTTGTTAGTTGACATTTTCTTTGCATAGCATTAAAATAGGGAAACACAGAACAAATAGTCTTTGCATAGGTTTGAAATAGGATTTTAATAGTATTTGAGTACGTAAAACATATCACATACACAGCCTTTAATTAGAGTTCAAACAGAAATTACATAGAATTGACATAGTCTTTTATGCATGTAGGTTTCGATCTGCTTAAAGGGACTGGTTCACGATAGTGCGCATGCACGCCGTTTGTCTCTTCAGAATAAATTTGTCGGGTCAACACTAAATTCGAAATTGCCATTACCGGTACAATCATTGAAAATCCTTCGTTTTATTCGGACATCCGTCGCTTTGGCTGGTCTAGTTATACTTCGGTAGTGGTGATTAACGTGTGGTTGTGTCGCTTGACTGGTTACGTTTTGAGAAGACGCAAAAAATAATGTTTTGATCATGGAGGTTCAGAAGAGCATCGTGGCCGCCCGGCAACAGGACGTTCTCAAGAGTCTTTGGAGATAGAGAAGCTTAGACTATCGATCTGGTATGGTTCTAGGAGTAGTGTGTGGCTTACGAAAAGTATACACGACACTTGGAAAGTGGTTAAAGGCATGAGTTCGTTCAACTTTGATTTGATTTTTGACTCCGACCTGTAGTTATACCGCAACAGGCCGCGCAATCTTCACCGATCTGGTACACTTGAAATGTTCCTTGTATCTTTGCTTTACGATCGTATGTGTTTAAGAATTGATGTGTTTAAAATAAATTATTGCCTGAGTATTCTGTTTATAATCTAGTTTCTTTATGTGTGCTACTCGATAACATTTGTTTTGCGGAACACTGACTCGATGCAACGCGAATGAATTTGTTCATTTGCTGATAAGCATTTGAAATTTATGCTCAGTTAAGGATAATCTTTATACTCATACGTTGTGCGTTTTTGTCACCGGTCAGGTGCTATTTGTAGGTATTTCTGGATTTATATAAGGCGAACTGAGAGAACAGTTATAAGATGTTTGTTTACAAATTTTGTTTGCGGATCGGTGACTGCTTTGTTAGCGTGGGTACGACCTCGTAAAAATACACGTTGGTAAATGTTTGTTTCAAAGCAGGACAGGGCTGTAAATCTTATTCTTATCGGCTGCAACATATATCTGAGGAGTAGCAAAGAATAAACTTGAATTATGGGGATTATTAAAATCAAAACAACTGCCCGGAAATACTCTGGCGTTTCGCAGTTTTGACCATGCAGCTATATTCAGGAGACGTCCACAATCAAGACGAAGGATCGAACCCAATATAAAAGAAGAAAATGATGTATGGAAGTATCATTTCAAGTGAAGAAACTCTAGGGAAAAGCTAGAAAGGAAAGTTAAGAGCGAATCCATGCAAAAATCGACCAAAATCGCCGATTCGTGGCAAGGCTCAAAAAATCAAAATCGCTCTTCTTTTGCAGACTGGTAGACTTTAGTAAGTATACAAACGCAATGTAGTTTTTACTTCGGCAGATATGTTCGTTTCCGAGAAAAACGAAGAAAACCGTTTCAAGCCCCGCCGTCGATTTCGCAAGCCAAAAACAGGATTGAAATTCATCATGATTCGCTGGACTCGCGTTCCAATACAGCCGCGCTAGGAAAAAAAATATTGCTAAAATTTTAAGTTTAACTCGTCGTTGATCAAAATATATAATATTTTTAGCATTACAACAGTCTGAGTAATTATAAAATAGCTAAAGCGTACGGCTACCTGATGTTTAGCCACGAAAGGTCGTTGAAAACAGCGACGATTTTCAACATGTGCCTTTGATCAGAATTTTTTCAGATTGAAGGGAAATACACTACAGGCATCAAACGTTTATGTTATGTAAAAATTATTTTGGGGAAATCATTTTGAGCTTCTCTTTTGAAAATCGTTTTACAGACAACATAAAGTAACGCCATCTTTAACATATGCGTGACTATCGTCGGGCGACCAGGCAAAGGTCATGAAACGTCTCTCCAAAAAAGTCTTGGTAATATTCACGCACAAAGTTCCAAATGCTAAAATACTTACCCTATTCTTTTTTTCAGGTCTAGTTTTACGGCAAAATGTTTCCCGTTGCCATCTGTTCATTGCCATTCTATATTAAACTCTGTTTGAGACTCATAACCAACACGCATGCTTTCTAACGAAGTTCGCTTAGCAAACACGTAGTAAACCCTCTCTTCCTTATCTGTCAACAACTTTTGTCTCGAAATGCTGCTGGACACCGCAGAAGGAAGCGCCAATCCGAAGGATATAAAAGCGCCCATGCGAACGTTTTGTGACTCAGTATGCAAATTACTTTCAACAGTAATATCAGATTACAGCTGTCAATATCCCGGGCCCCGGGGTCTGGATCCGCTAAAAGCAGGCGAAAAGCAAACGTAAAACATGCGTATAATATAAAATTTTTGAAAATGAAGAATTTAATTGGTAGCCTCGCGGAAGATTTTCATTGCTTCAAGACGTCGGCATTATCAAATCTGAAGACGTCTTAACAAAAAATTGTGTACATGTTTCCTTCCCATCTTCACAAGTGGAACTTCCAGTTGTTGGCTGCACGTGGGTAATCCTGGCCTGCACGTGCGTTATTTCAGAGTGCCCTCTTAATAGAGGACAAATGTAATTTCTGCTGTGCTAAATGTCACTTTTCGTGAATTTAAACAAACATTATGGGGGGGGGAGAAGTACAAAAAAAAGTATTCGCGGAAGAGAAAATTAAATGAAAAAAAATTCATGCACGCCAATTAACCCTAAAAAATATTCATGCCACGGCCTAAAACTGAAATTCATGAAGGAATTTGATAACGAAAAAAAGTTCCTGCGGCTCAAAAATTCCCCACCCCACCCCCCATAACTTTTCTAACGGTCCGTGCCTAATAGATAAGATTTCTCTTCGTGATCCCCAGTGTCCTTGTAAGATTCTGCAAGCGCATCTGCTTCTGAGTTTCAAGTCAATGGCTTCGTCATTCGCCATATCCGCACACGTTGTCTTGAATGAGGTACAAGTCAGTCGTTTGAAGTAAATGTAAAAAAGAATAGAATAAAATAAAACGACAACAACAAATACCATCAGAACTGGACTATGATCTTTGAATTTAAAAAAATATATATTTACTCTGGGGGAAATTGGGTTTAATTTCAAACTAAGAGAAAAACTGAAAGGTTTATTTTATCGGACAGATTAGGTGGATCGGTACCGTACCCGGGAGACTCTGGGTTATCTAAGAGAGTTGACAACTATGATAAACTTTATACAGTATTCGTAGATTGAATTTAAGTGACTTATTAGAATATAATACAGTGAATAAACCAAGAGTACCTGAACCTACAGGAATGAGGATACCGGTTTGCTGATAGATATATTCTGAAATGTTCTTCCTCTAACTCTTTTGTCGGCTTTAACAGGTTTCCCTCTTCTTTCAATTATGTGATTGGCGATTTCGTTTGGAACTTGGCACGAATTGGTATAACTGTTCCGTCGCCATCCAATACCGAGCTCAGAACGATGGAAAGGGCATATATTACAGGAACTTAGGGCGCTTTCCATTTGTCAGTACTGGCCAGCTGGACCTTTGCCTGACCAGTCATTTTAAAAATGAAATAGGATTTTTCCAAGAGTTTTGCCGAAAAACGTTCTCTTTCGAGCATACTCTTTCGGATTTGACTGATCTAGTGCAACGGGAATGGTCTGACTGGTCAGTTCTGAGCTAAAATAAAGTGTGTTTCGCTTTCATTACCAGAAAGAGACCATGTCGACCTATGTCCAGTTACGTCCTTAATAGTTTGACAGCGACAAAGGAACAATCTCAGTTGATCTCTGCTTATCCCTTCCATCAAACGAACACAGAGTACCTACTAATGACTCGAAGGAGCACGAACCTTCCATAGCTTCATCGAAGAAGAGCGCACACAAACAGTGTTTATGCAAAGATCTTTTTCTTTTTCAAGTGGGAATGAACGGTTGTCGAGAATCAAATTAAACTAAATTTAATTCGATAATGTTAATCAAATGCCTAAAATGTCAAAATATTAAAGATACTTGTCAGGTAAAATAATGTCAACTGGAATATTTTTGAAGAAGGAAGAGTATAAAAGATGAATCTTCTTCAGTGTACTGGAAGTAACGGGCGAAAGTCGGTGAAGCTCGTCACGTGTATATCACCGGAAGTAGACCCTTGGCACACTCCTATGCAAATGAGATTAGTTAAAGTGAACGGATCCACGAGCAAGCAACTTTGCTTTGACAGTTAAACTACCGAGCTATATTTTATAGACGGCTTTTTTAAGGTCCAGGGCTCTCAAAAATTTAACAAACATGAGATGATAACTTGAAAACATTAGAGAAAACAGAGGGATGAAGAAATTACCAGAAAGATGTCACGCACCTTCAACGCACACATTCCGGCGGACTTCACGACTACGGTAGCATAGGTAATAAGACGGCAAAATGAAACAACTTGGAGCTTGAAGTACAACAGATACAAGTTAAGGTGAGCTTTTTAAAAAATGTGTTCTATATATCAAGGCTACCAGCGTTGTAAACGGAAAACTAAAGTCAAATTGTTCGTGGTGGTCGTGTGACTCATGTGTTGGATGCCGTTATTTTAGGTTGTCTGTAACACGAATTTCAAATAATTTCTGAGAAGCTCAAAATGATTTCCCCAAAATAATTTTAACATAACATAATAGTTTGATGCTTGTAGTGTTTTTCCCTTCAATCTTGAAAAATTCTGATCAAAGGCACAAGACGAAAATCGTCCCTTTTTCAACTACCTTCCGTGGTTGAACAACAGGTAGACATACGCTTTAGCTTTTTTATAATTACTCAGACTGTTTTAATGCTAAAAATATTATATATTTTGGTCAACGACGAGTTATACTTACAATTTTAGCAACAAGCTTTTTTTTCTAGCGCGGTTGTTTTGAAATGCAAGTCGAGCGAATCATAGTGAATTTCAACCCTGTTTTCGGCTTGCGAAATCGACGGCGGGGCTTGAAACGGTTTTCTTGTTTTTCTCGGAAACGAACAGATCTTTCGAAGAAAAAAGTACATGGCGTTTGTACACTTACTAAAGTCTATCAGTATGCAAAAGAAGAGCGATTTTTATTTTTTGAGCCTTGCCGCACTTTGGTCGATATTTGCATGGAGTTGCTCTTAAGACATGAATGATGGATGTAGCGATTCAAACCTTAACAAAAATCTAAGAAACTATCTGCAAGCACAAAAAAATTATAGTATATGATTTTTAAGTTTTTTAGTTTAAAACAAAGCTTTTTACTTTGGAAGTATGCTTTTTGTAAGCGCTATTTAACCTGTACCATCAACATGCCTAGTATTTTAAAAGCTATGTTTGAATATCACATAGGAAACGCACAGACTACATTATTCCTCATATGAGTGACAAAAAAAAATACGTTTATGTAAAAGCTATGTAACATTTTTCTCATGATAAAGCTAAATTAAAATGTCACATAGTGAGAACATAGGCTGCAAATACGTTTCATCACATAGCATAGAATATACATAGCACTAGGTAAAAGCTAAGAAACTTGTTGGAAATAAAAGTGAAGATCGAGATGCTATGTAAAAGCTATTTTGCTTTGATGCATAGTGAATACATAGGATGCTAATTGGAAGGAAAAGCAGAACTTTCTATTGCATAGTAAATACATAGCTATGTAAAGACTATGAAACGATTTTGAATAGTATTTGCATAGGTATTCAAAAGCTATGTGCTTTTCAAATAACCTAAACATAGTGTCAACACAGATTTTGCATACTTTGGACTATGTTGTGTGGTATGTTACATGGTTAAAACATAGGCAGTAGTGAACTTAACATAGCTGAAACATAGTCCAACATAGTAAACAAATAGCATGAGCATAGGTTTTGCATATGTCTGGTTCTAAGAGGGAAGGTTGCGCGCGGTCTGGATCGAGACCAGCGTTTTTGGCGCCAAATGTGAAGGTTAAGCAGAGGCTTTTGCAGAACGCGGACGTCTCGGTTCAGTTGGTTGTGTTTACGTTTTGAGCTCCAAAATGTCAACGCTAAAAGAGACTCGAGACGTGGCGATACTAAGCCACAGTCTTATAACAAATGAAGAGCTTCTTCATTTCAGTTGAAAATAGAACTATCATGTATTATTGTCTTATTTACCAATAAATATTATTATTTATTGATATATTATTGTATTATTATTAATTTATTCTCCTTAAAATTTGCTAATGTTTTTGGAAAATACAGGAATGTATATCGTGGTTGATGTTTCAGAGGGTAAGAGGCATGATGCAGGATTCTTAGAGATTCTGGTCTCCTAGCAGATTTGGACAATTATGCCATTTCACCAGCTGGACAGCCCATGTGCCTGTACTTGGATCCTGCCTATCCCCTGAGGATCCACTTGCAGGCACCAGTCAGTTATGTAAGGCTTACCCCTAAAATGGAGGCTTTAATTTTTAACCAGTCCATGAGTCAGGTCAGAGTATCTGTTGAGTGAATCATTAGTGATGTTGTTAAATCATTCAAGTCAATGGATTTTAAGAACAATTTGAAAATAGGTCTAAGTTCTGTGGGGAAAATGTATATTGCGTGTGCATTAATTCAAAATGTGATAACCTGCTTATATGGACTGTCACTTCCCACGATACATGAATATTTTTCTTAAACTTGATTGATGCCTTTAATAAGGTTTTTGCTTACATGTTCCTAACTCTGTTAAGTTACAAGATCATAACTGTTTCATAAGAGACAAGGAATGATAACCCTTATAACTGTCAAAGTTCAGTACCTAAAGACAAAACTGTACAGAAATAAAGAGTCAGGCATGAAAACTGACATTTTCTGAAGTACAAAGTTTGTTTGTTTAATTGACAAACACAACAGTAAGTCCTATTAAAAAAGCTTATTTAGTAATAAGCTTGCTAATCAGTTGCAACATATTCTAATTCTGTTGTGCCATCATCTTCATCATCTCTTCCTGTCTCTTAGCTGCTTCTCCATTCTTCTTACTCTTTTCATTCTGTTCTTTCTTTTTAATTCAAGCTCTTCTCTTCGTAAGGCAAATTCAGCGTCATTTCTTTCTTTAAGATACTCTATGGTATCACTTGTTGGGCGTCTAGCCTTCTTCTTTCGCTGATTTTCTTCCTAGGACTTTCTGCGTGTTGCTTCTGAAAAATTCTCCACTGCCTTCTTTCTCATATCTACAGTTTTAGCTCGATCTTGCTCAGTCTTCTGGTTTTTTTCTTCACTCTCACTTAGCCTCCCCTCTTCTGACTGATCTTCTACCCCAGTGACTTCTTCCAAAAGGATGTCCAACTCAGACATTTCGGGGCTAATTCCACTTGCTTTTTGTTCACTAGCCATTCGCTTTCTGAACTTTTTGGATAAAAGGGAGTATCTGTCTCGCACAGCTCTCACTGTAATTTTGAAGGGGGGTTCTTCAATTTCTTCAAGGTGCTGAACAACCGTTTCCCATATTTTTGTTCTTTGTATGGTTTTCCCCTTAGCCTTGAAGGGGTTGATTGCCAACATTTCTCGACATAACAGAATGTCACGTGCCATAGTCCACTCCATTGGTTTTACTCTGAAAAGTTAAGGAATCAAAACCAATGCAAGATTATTTCCAAAGCCCGAAAGCACAATAAAATATATTATAACAATTTGTTTAAAAAACTATAAAAATTTTAGGTAAGCGTAATGTTAAATCAGTCAGAATACTTTAAATTCGAGAAAGAGTAGTGTTCTCTGAGAGGAATCAGTTTTGCATCTTTACCCCACGCTCTTGGAGAAATGAATATTCCATATTTCACATTTATTCGGCGACTTGAAATTTACTTCTTTACTGCCTTGTGTAAACAACACGAGCGAGCGCATTCAAGTCTTCGATTCTGCTGTATAATATGCCTTAAGTTCCACTTTTATTCTTGCAAATTCATTAACCACAACCAAATTCGTTGTTCACATCTTTCATTGAAGTCGGTTGTTCAAAAGCTAGCACATACAGTGTGCAGTTGATAATTAAGCCTACAACCAGATGCAAAAAGACAACCATCTCAATTTGTAATTTTTCACTGTATCTAAATGTCGAACAAATGTCTTAGTTCTAACTTTTTTGGCCAAGAAAAGTTATAATAAGAGAGAGCCTGCAAAATGTGCTCTTAGTTCAGCATTTGACAATCCAATTATGGACATGAAATCCAATAACTTTACTCCAAGTTTGGCGGGAAGGTTGTCTGCCATGTTTTTCAGACTCATGCAATCTATCGGGGTAGAAAAAACGAGTTAAATGCAACGAAAAGGTTTGTTAAAGTGCTACTACGACGAAAATTTTTGTTTTTGTTTCCGAGTTTTTTTAACATAAATCTTTTGTATATGTTCAAAATTATACAAATAGCGAAAAATTGGAACGATACTTGCGTACGGGGGCTGGAAATTTCCCTCTGAAAAGTGCGTAAATACCGTCCGCCATTACAAAGTTCGCAAAGCAATAGCCCGCGAGATCTCCGCAAAGCGGTCGTGCGTTTGACCACGTGATTTATGCACTGTGACATAGAAACATCAACCAAAAGATTCGCATTTGGGAAAAGTTTGTGAGTTTAGAGCCTTTCAACAAGACGTTTAAGATGTCATCTCCGTCGGATTCCTCTTCCTGCACATCTGAAAGTGATCTAAAAGTTTTACAGTTGAAGAAGTGATGGGGGAATTGTCTGAATTTGCGCCGTACGACGACAGTTGCGAACCCCTTGCTACCGAGGAAGAAGCCGCGGACTACAACGAAAGAGTTCATTGTGAAGAAGAAGAGGAACAACAGTTTCAACGAAGATATTCGGGAGAGGTGCCAGCGAATGAATGGTATGGTCTTATCATGGAATGTAGATTTATATTTTTATTTTCCAATTTCAACATACCCGTCGTTAAATCGTGCGCGTGACGAACGCGACTGTGTGTTTTGTTTAAGTTTACAATTTCGTTGCTATGTGATTAGCTGTAGTCCTGATTTTATGCGATAGTTTTATTGAAGAGGTCAGACAATTAATAATTTTATACAGACGTATTTTTCCTGTGTTTGACGAATTTTTCACATTATTTTGCAGGTGTTCGTGCTCGAACTGCTCTGTCAGCCTTGTTACAAAAGCGCAGGAGTGCATTTGCTGCAAAGAGATCGATCGTTGCGAAGAGGTCATGGAAGAAGCCATTGGAGACCGGACGGTATGCATAACCCTCCATCCAGGGTTTGAAAGCGTCTGCTTAAACCGCCACGTATTAGAAGTGGCTGCACTGGGCCTAAAAACGCGAGCTGGAAAGTCGGACACAACTGTTCGTGGGCAAAGCAACAAAAGTGATAATGAGTAAGTTGGGGTATTGTTGACTTTGTATCGGAAAGATCAAACCTTACATAGTATTGAATAATTGATACATCTAAGCTTATCGCCGTGGACTGATCTCATAGAATCACATTTTTTATTTTCTAAATGGCTTTATTGCCCCAACTGCTTACTTTTAAAAGGAGTATTTATTTATCTCCATCCAATCCCCCCTTGAATTAACAGTGATCTCATTTCTCTAACTAGATTCCTGAGGTCTGTGACCTATCGCCAATTTACAAGACTGCTGTGGAGTTATATTGGTGGTTCCAGGCGATACCCCTTGCCCTGTTGTGCCTACAATAAAATCAGGAAACAATTTCCGAGTCAAAATGGCCATTATTGTGGATTCGAAGATGAAGAAAATGAATAATGAATGCACTGTTTGTTCTTGAAGAGTGTCATGTATGCCATTGGGGCCAAGAAGGACCTACAGTAGTTGCTTGAATACTTGTCCGTAAGCACTTAATTTTATGGGCCAAACTTCAGAATTCTCAGCCACTTACTCGCTTTTTGTTGAATGACAAACTTGCCCACTGTGTGATGCCCTGTTCTTCTAGCATTCAGTTAAACTCAAGTTTAGTGGCTGGGAATTCTAATGTTGCTCCAATTTTCATGTACACAAGTAATAAAAATTAAATCGAATTCAGCCTGAATTAAATTACGGTTTTAATGTATCGTTTCTTTCTTTTCACTCGGCTCACAGAGCTCTGCAAAACTTAATAGCAGGTTACCTGCTGGAAACTTTCCTAGCAGGTCTGGTTGACTCTTCCAGACTTTTGTCTGGCTACAGTTTCTGCAGAAACTTTCTACGGTTAACAAGGTACCTGTCTGTGATACAGAAAGTTTGGGTTTTGAAAAGAAGCACAAGTGGCAGAACTGAAACAAAAGAAGTTTGGAAAGGAAAACAATTCCCTTCGGTTCCTCTCGGATGTTTTTTCTTGTAGATCCAACCTGTAAAAAATGATTGAAAGGAAATACTCATTTAATCATAGCATCTGAAATAATAAAATAACAATAAAAAAAATGATTATCATTTTTATTGTTTTTCTCAGGGTGTTGCCAGTTTTTCAATTTGTTGTAAACCTGGCTAATTGTGGGTTGGGATTTTATTCTCACATACATCCTGAAAAATGCTTTTTCATAATAATTCTGTTGATTGCACACATGACAACTTTGAGCCCTTAAGCTATCTAGCCCACCCCAACGATGCATAATTTATTACAAGTGGTTGAGTGGACAAACCAAATATTTTAGGCCTGGGACTTCCAATCTACGGGCTGGCTATGCCTCTTCTTTTTTTTTTTTTTTTTTTTTTTTTGCAATTCTTATCTGAGTAAATTAAAAAAACAAATTTCATGTACTCTTGTTTCTAAATAGATCCTCTCATAATGGAAGTTAGTTTTAGGCCTAAATCACTTCCCAGAGGATACTTAGAGCTAAGATGTTAAAATGCAATAAATTTTGCATCTTTGTACCTTGGGTCCTGATGAGTCTTCACCGAGTCATCATCTTCCTTTAGTTTTTTATATGCATCTTCGATTTCTTCAGGACTCCATGTAGGGTCTTCATCACACTCAAACTCCTCATATGCGTCGTCCTGCATTTCCTGCTCATCTTCTGATTCATCCTCTAGCCCTAACTCTGTCTCATTCGTTACTGGCCATGGATCAGTTTGAATAGCTTAAACAAATGGAATTAAAAAAATTCTATCACCATTAAAATTTTAATTATTATTAAATAATCAAATATTGATAAAATATAATAAAAATATAAAGATAGGCAGTTATGCCTATATGACTCATCAACATCAATTATTGTTGACTCACCAGCATTCACCATCAGCAACTGCTTCGGCTCTTGTACGCTCTTAAAGGTTTCAACCCACTGATCTTGATTGGAGATTAACTTACCCTTCAGTCTTGTGACTTTGCCCCTTAACTGAGTCACCTCACTCCTCAGGGTTTTGCATGTTGTGCAATTCCCAGCATGTCCAGTTGGAGTATCCTACAAAAAACAAACTTTCAACATTAATACAGGCTATAATAACAAGAGTTTAGAATTTTTGTGTTTTAGTATTGTTGTAAAGTAACTGCACATGTAGTTTTCCATTGTTATGATAATACGAAGATGCAAATAAACATCAATTAAGAGTTGTGCGCCTACCATAGAAACCTGTTCAAGTTTAGGAATCAAAGAGATCACCTCTTCTTCAGGATTGTCTTGTTCCTCTGTATCCTCATTAGTAGTTTGACCAGCCAGAATTTCATTTAGTAGCTAAAAATGAAAATAGGTACGACCAGTTTTTATATCTCCCCTTCAAAACAAGTTTAAATTTGAGCTTTATGTCGATGTTTTCAAAACTAGAAATGGAGGCAAGGTTTAACCACATCTTTGCCTTAAAATGTATGCATCATTTGCAGACAGTGAAAATAGAATTAAAATACAAACGAAAAAAAAACCCGCAAACAGTAACTGAATTTATAGAATGTAGAAATCAGACTAAGTCCATTTTTGGTCGTTTTAAAAGACTCGCGTGTAACTCTTAATTTGCTGTAAGATTTCTTGGAGGGAAGTTTGGAGTACTGTCAAATCTCAAAGTAACAGCAAGATAATCTCTCAAAAAATAGAGAGCCGGATTTCTATGTAGCTTCACTTTTTCTAAATTTTACGCTGGAGTGGAAAGGTCTGGGAATTGGGGAATTGACTTCACGTCCACTCAGCGCAAATGCCCGTTTTACTATAACTATGAGAAGAAAGCAGAAAAGTATGAAAACACATGCAAAAATATGCGAAGTCCAAATACTCAGAGCATTCATTACACGAATATTGAACAACGATGCCAAAAAAATCATGTCACAGGTAAATGGGGAAATAAATATAATGGTGATAAGCACAGCGCAAATACATTGTAATTTCACTCACCGATCGTCGACTCCGCTTTGATAGTGTTTGAGAGGATTTTTTCCAAATGGTTGGAAACATCCCCTTCTTCAAATTCCTTTTCATGCCTTTCATCGGAAAAGCAAGCGTAAAACAATCCCTTGTAAAATGCTCCGAGCACACAGCAAATTTTCCCACTGTGTTGAAATCCTTCCGATGAATGGACACGAACCTTTTCCACTTTAATCTAACGCTGCCCGAATCAGGAGAATTATGAATAGAAATCCCCAATTCATCGTTCTTTACGTTTCCACAGTCCTGAAAAACACAACTTCTACCAGACATACTTTCGCTTTAAGTCAAAAAAGCGAAGAAAGAACCTCCAAAAGTTTCCAAAAATATCTCGTCCTGCATGCGAAATTAGCCACGTTTGTTTGCCTTGTTTTGTCGCGTTGATGTTTCTACGTCACATCTCGCCCCAACTCCTTCAAATACTACTCCCGGTCATTTTTTGAATCGAGTAATGGCGGCAAGACATTTACGAAAATTGCCGTGCAAATAAACACACTTCCAGATCATATTTGGACTCCAAACTTGGCACGGTAAGTCACTTTTACATACATTTTCGAAATATGTAGTCAAAAACAAATTCCCAAATTTGATCGTAGTAGCACTTTAACAAAACTCCTTATGAAAAACGGAAGAGCACTTCATGTTTTTGGGTCAACAATTTGTCCACTATAGGGAAAGTTACAAAATATTTCTCACCCAAGTGCAGTATGAACGTCCAGTCGTGGCGTTCTATCTTCGACCTCAAAAGTGTCGTTCTGGCGTCTGCAACCTGACCACGCGGACGCCCTGACATGCGCGGTTTGTAAATAGTTGCTCCAACGACTTCCGGGCGGCGTTCGTGACCACAAAAACGTCTACTGCTTAAGCTCTCTAATAAGAGCCGCCACGAACCTCTTAATTCTGACATCATCCATAGGCTAA